CACCCCTTTATGTTTTATGATTCTTTTTCCTGGAGAAAAATAGCAAACAAGAGCTGAATTTATTTCTACGTTAGGTAGATGTAAATCATAAACTTTGGTATAATGTCTTCCATGTTGTGATATATTCAGCAAGCCAATGCTATTCTTCATATTAAAACATTTTATAGCTTGTAATAAGAACATCAAAGTATGTTCTCCAAAACGGACTTGTTCTCCAAAAGAATTTCTTGAAACATTCTTAGTCATGTTTGGATCTGTTTTGTGTTTTCAGCTTGAAAAGGACTGAGAACAATTATCTGAACAACAAGAATAGTATATAGGTGGAACCCCCTTTATACTCTATGATATTCTTTTTCCCTTAAGAAAAAGTAAAAAAAGTGGTATTCTTTGGTCATATGTTTGGTTGGTATAAATCATAAACCTTGTTCTAAAAATATCCACATCATCATGTTTCAGCAAGCAAATGTTTGTTCTTCATGTTTAAACATGTCTTCTTTATATTCTTTAGAATTAGTTGTGACATGTAAGTGATAAAAACATCAAAATTTGTTCTCCAAAACAGACTTCTTTCCTAAAGGAGTTCTCACTAACTTCTTTTTAAATGCGGTAAACAAACATTTGACATTAGGGATCTCTTTTAACTCTTAAGAACGAAAATTATTTGAAGAATGGCGGTCAGTTATATCCTTAAGAGGTGGTAGTAAGATTCTTTAGTTGGTCAATGTCATTTTAATGATCCAGTCATGTGCTTACCCCAGTGGAAACAGTTGTGCTGTGCAGTATGATTTAGATTTGGTTATGGTTAAATTGTTTCAGGTGGAGAATAGTCTTTCTCATTAGTTATCTTTTCAGATGGTAGTCTAAACTGGCTTCTGGGGCTTTCTCCTTTTTCCTTTTATTGGTTTATTTTTGAACTCCTGAAATGGTTCTGCAAAATGTTATTTAGCTGTACTTTATTACTATTCCCCTTTCATTTGGACTTGGTCCCGCCTCTTTTTGTTCTGAAAAAAGGGTGTGAATGACATTATCAAGCAGTTGGTTATTATCAAATGATACATATAGCATCTTTTTGTGTTTGGTTAACAGTCTTCCATGTCATCAAATGTAGAATCTATTTATCATCCTGCTGGACTATAGTCAACAAGTTTATTACTGGACATCGTAGGTTGAGGTTGCATTTGCTGGTGAAGGAAAGGAAGAAGATGTCAAATCTGAAAATGCAAGCGCATCTCTGAAAGTTTTGCCACCATGGATGATCAAGCAAGGAATGAATCTTACAAAGGAGCAACGTGGAGAGGTCAAGCAAGAGACAAAGGTGGATGGCAGTTCAGCAGCAGTTCCATTTTCTGATGACAAGAAAACTGTTGAAAGTGATGATCAGAAGAACTTACAGGCTTGTTCTAAGATAACCTTTTTTTCCCTGATTTTGATGTTTGTCATATGTGAGAGTGCAACTTTGTTTTACTCAATTTTCATTGACTGACGGAAAGTTTTTCTCGGGCTTCATTGTTTTAACAGGATGAGTATGTGAAAGCTTATTATGCGGCTCTGCTTAAGAAGCAGCAAGAAATGGCTGAAGCTGCTAACAAACAGCCGGAGTCATCAAGCATGATAACCTCTGATGGTTCTGGCACATCTTCTAATCGTCAAGTTGGTATGAAGTCTAAACGTGATGGAGATGAACCAGATGATGATGTTGATTGGGAAGATGCTCCTATTGCAGGTTGGTATTGTAATTTCCTGATAAGTTTAATTTGCCTTCATTAGGTATTTGGGGATAGAACCTTGAGATTGCACCCACTCTTTTTAAGACATCATCACATTTAGTAAGTCTTAGGCATCACATTTAAGAGTTTGACTTTATTGCATAACCAGAAAATCAAGAAATATTTAAAATATTTTATTGAATAACTAAACTTGGTCTTAAAAGTGAGATTGCAAAAATATTAAAAATGTTTCTTAATAACCTTTTCTAAATCCGGTTAAACTTATTAATACCAATTCTAATAGGATTAGGAAATTATACTCCTAATACAAATAGGAAAACTAAATAGTAAAAAGAATAAAATGTTGAAATTTCTAAAACTATAATAACAGACTCCTAAATACTATAGTTTTATATTTGAAAGAATTACAAGTTCTAATCTATTTGCACAATCTAGATTTAACCCATTTTACATCATTCCCATACACTGATCAAGTATTTATACTCTTAGTTATCAATTTTTTGGCCTACTTCCCTTAATATTGGGAATGTCTTCATGGATTAGAAGTCTGAGTACCTGCTGTTGAATGTCTTCATGTCTCAACAAGGTTGTGTCTGACCTCTCACCCATGCGACAAATACTAGTGTTGCTTTGGATCTTTAATTGAATGACTTGCCTAGAGTTTCAAGTCTTCGAGACGTGACTCTGTGAATGTAAAATTGAATTTTTAGGTACCATTTATCTTTTGTTTGGAGAGAAAAGACTGTTCATTAGAAGACACCAAGGGGGCACCACCCATGTGCTAAAGGGTATAAGAATTATTTTTTTTCACTTACCATTGAAGCTAGTGATGGTCCTGTTTGTGCAGTGGTATAGTTGCCAACCAGATTTTATCTGTGTGGTTGCAATTGCATCTTCGATGGTTGCTTGAAATGACTTTAATTGTCTGGAAACAGTAGTCCCTGGTGATAGTTGTGCTTGAGTGCGATGGTGTTTGAGGGTGGCTGGAAACTTGAAAGATAAGAGAGTACGGTTTCACTAATTCTGCGCAAATGTTTGGTTAACTTAGTGGTTAAGTTAAGCTAATGCAACCTAGCCAGTCACTGAAAGGCCAAGACAAACACACCTTATTAAATGGCAGGAAACTACACTATGATTGCATAATTGGATTAGTAAAATTATTGTTAATATTTCGTAACCATTTTGTTTGGGACAGTGATCATTGGTTATCTCTAATATACAATTGCAGGCCACACAAATGAAGGTTACAAAGTTGGCGACTTGAATGTTGAAGCAGAGGCTTCTGGAGAGGATGATGATGATGTGGACTGGGAGGAAGGTTGACACTGTTTTCTTACATGGCAAAAGTGACAGATTCACCGGCATTTGATTAACATCAAGAAAGTGAGTCATAAGTTGAAAGAAGACAATGTTGAGGAGGCCTGATAAGAATCTAACCCTTCAAGGCTCGAGAAAATTCAGGGTCAGTTCTATAATTCTACTGCTTTTTTTGGGGATTCTTCTTTCAGTTTTACTTCTTATATATGGTTGATCTTTTTCAGGGTTCCTCATATAGACCATGCATATATACTTTTTAAATCACGCAAACTGTGATGTGAGTGACTGAAATTTGTTTGATGGAAGATGGTCTTCTTGATGAGCTACCATTTTAGCTGACTATGTTGAAAATGTATTATGGGTCTGCCATTACATTTCGATTAAAACTAGGTTTGAATCTATCAACGTCATCTTTAGGCTGCTGAACTCAGTGTGTGTGATATGTTGATAGACTTAAGAAGAAGATATTAAATGTACATCTGGAACTAATATGCCTGTATTGATGGCATTTATTCTCAGACCGGGACTTCAGTAACATCTAAAATAGTAAGGGTATGTTTGGAACAAATTAACTGTTTTTTTGTGGAATTCATTTGGAAATATTTAGTTAGTTCAATTATGACAGGATGAAAATTTAATTTCAAATGAATTTCAGCAAGAACTAAAATAATTTGTTTTAAATTTAATCAAATTACTACAATTTGAAATGTTATTTCATTCACTCAAAGAGTTATTGAATTTGAATTTTCAATCTTCTTGTGAGTGAACTAACTATTCATTTTGAAATGTATTATAACAAAACAAAAAAAAAAAAAGTGTTTGTTGCAAGCATGCCCCAAAATATTATGGGAGAAATTATGGTGACCTTTCTTGTTAGAGTAAGTTGGGCAGACTGGTTCATTTTAACAATGTCTCTTAAAATAGTCAAGAACTAAATGTACGTGAAATTGGAAGAGTTTATTGTGCTTTTAATTGGTGGTGCTGAGAGTCACCAAGCTTCTTTTTGTAAAGATGTTCGTTGCATTTTTATCTTCGTGGAAGGCTTTAAGGTTATATTAGGAATAAATTAATGGCAATAATTTTTTAGAATATTTTATAAATTTTCATTTTTTTTTTTTTTTGTTTTGTAATTTTTGATGGAGATACCAATGAGTTTGGATTAACATAGTGGTTATTATTGTAATTGAGTTTAAGCCAAAAATTTAAAGTGGATAGATTTACATGTAATTACTTTTACTAAATTTTGAAAATAAGCATTATTTCAATTTAGCTAAATTAATTTATGGACTTAATTGAGTTTGTTCTTTCTTAAATGTTTTTTAGATCAATTAAATATAGGTTTCCAAATAAGTTTAGTGAAATTTCTTTATTTATTATAAGATTACCCAAGTTAATTTGAGAATTACTAATCATTATTATTATTAGTATTATTTTATTATTATTAAAGTTTGAAAATGTGTAGTTACATTGAATGGTATACACCGGCGTAAAACAACACATATGGGTTTGGTGGGGGAAGTGTCAGTGGTTCCAATGTAACTCCATTTGTTGGGTGGCTTGACTTAACGAGCTCTTTTTTTTTTTTTTCCCCTCTTTGTGATGGCCAACA